CTCCGTCCCAATATAAAAGGCACATTTGCGTTTGGGGAGTTTTTAAGGGTGAACACTGTTTGAACACTGTTTAGACACTGTTTGGCACTGTTTGGACACTGTTTGGCACTGTTTTGCACTGTTTTGTTTGCCAAAAAGGGAAATGTGCCTTTTATATTGGGACGGACCGAAAAGGAAAGTGTGCCTTTTATATTGGGACGGAGGGAGTACTACTTATGATTAAATGTGATAATTATATCATTCATGTTTGTTAATGCATATGTATATATGTATTTTATACACATGAAAATACAATATTACTTATCATATTTATGCAAAAAATATAGATAAAAATGTAATTTATGTGTCTCCGACTAGTCCCCGACTAGGCGCCCGCCTAGGCGCTAGGCGCAGGACTGGCGCCCGACTAGCGCCTAGCGCCTTTTAGAACATTGGTAGAGGGGGATCGAAAGGGAAAGCATTGTTTGGTTGGTGGGAAGGTTCCAAACAGTTAGCTCACTTTTGTTTTGGAGGTTTTTTTGTACAACCCTAGTGTAATGATTATAATCTACAAGGAAAAAAGTGCAAAAGCTTAAGAAAGGCACCTGACAGAAGACGAATGAGTTGAAAATAAGTGTGTTGAGGGTCAAATCCTCATTTGGGCCACCAAGACGGAATATGAATTTTCCACAAGCCTGAAGAAACCAGATAACTATGAACTGGTATAAAGATTGACCCAAGATATTCCTCCACATTACGTTTGTGATAAAACTTCCTGTCCTTCCAACTGGAGCCCTCTGCATTAGCTCATCTGTAGGGGGTTCAGTTGCCAAGGCAAGTGCTCCCAATGTGTCCATTATCATATTCACCCACAAGAGTTGAACAGCGGTTAATGGGGCACTACCTGCAAGACAATTGATACAAATTATTTCAGGTGGCCCAAAAATTTAAATGGCAACTAAGGGCCTATTTGGTAAGGGACCAAGGGTTATTTGGTTGAATCTGTTGAAGCGCGGTTGGTAACACCATTCCAGCCAGATAAGTAAGTCAAAAGTTACTATCTCTACTTGTCCTGTTGATAGCAGATAATCCAAATAAAAAAGATGCCAAAGCATATGTTCGTTACCCGTTAAACAAGCCGAAGAGAAGTTGACAATTAAAGCAACAACATTAACAGTCAACTGAAACTGAACGAATTTCTGAATGTTTATGTAAACTGAGCGTCCCCATTTAGCTACTGTCACGATAGTTGAGAAATTGTCGTCTAGAATGATTACATCAGCACTCTCTTTGGCCACCTGGGATCAGAAGTAAGGATCAGTGTTTCAAAACCTAGCAAAAGGTGAGCCTGATTTTATATGTTTGTCCATATTTTTATAATCTCCTAATATTTTATATACTAAGAGATTCACAAAGTTCTAGTTTTTTTCACCTCAGTCCCAGCAATGCCCATTGCAAGCCCAATATCAGCCTCATGAAGTGCAGGAGCATCATTAGTTCCATCACCAGTTACTGCCACAACTTCTTGAAATGTTGTTCTCAATTGCTTTACCAATGTGTGCTTGTCTAGTGGTGAGGATCTAGCCATCACCTTCATAACAGAAAACAAAAAGAAAAAGTTTTAGGTTCAATTTGTTTCCAGGGAAACATTTTTGAGGGCCTACTGTGATTCTTTGAACTTCTGTGAAGAGTGACTTCCCGCTTTCGAAATGAGGCGTCATTTTCTTGAAAAAGATATCAAGTTTCGTTTTTAACATAGGAATAATATTATACAAAAAAAACATTTTTCTAACACAATTTTTTTACAAAGAAAGCATTTTTTCTCTCCACTGGAATGGAGCTATAAATTTGTTTCTAGAATATTTTTTATTTGAACAAAATATTTTACTTTGTAAATAGATAAATACGGAGTATGCAATAATTAAAAAAAGAACCTGGATTTTAGGAATGATTTTGTGCATCTCCTCGAGACTCATCTCCCTAAATACAGGACCTTCAATGGCAATACCATCATCAGTTAAAATCCCACATTCCCTGGCTATAGCTTTTGCAGTGTTGATGTTATCTCCAGTGACCATCCTAACAGTGACACCAGCGGAATGACAGAGGGCAACAGATTCCCTAACTCCCGGCCGAACCGGATCCTTTATTCCCACTATCCCCACACAAGTATAGCCCGAGACCGGAATATCATCATTAGGTGAGAACCCACTTTCCAAATCGAGATACGCAAGGCATAACGTTCTAAGTGCTTCATTGGCAAACTCATTGATAGTGGCATTCATGTGATTACATAACTCCTCATCCAGTGGCACAACCACACCATCAGAATTAATAACTTTGTCACAGGCAGCCAATATTATCTCTGAAGCACCTTTAGTATGAGCACGTAAACGTCCTTCAGGAAGTTCTAATACTACACTCATTCTTTTTTTGGTGGAGTTAAAAGGTTCGACTTTTACTAGTTTGCAAGCCTTTCTTTCAGCTTGGAAATCCCCACCAAGATCCAAACCAAACTTAAGTATCGCTGTCTCGGTTGGTGTTCCCAACATTTCACGTTTCCCAGTTTTTGAAGCCACCACTTCACCTCCTGTGTTGTTGAATATGGACTGGAGAAGCGCTTGGAGGACATTATCTGGAAGTTGGGTTCGGATATCATTTGCGTCACTCGAAGTGTTTAAATCTTTGACTTTCATACATATGCAAGTCTTGACAACAGTCATTCGATTCGTGGTTAGGGTCCCAGTTTTGTCACTGCAGATCGTTGTGGCGGACCCCATTGTCTCACACGCGGCCAGGTTTCGTACGAGAGCCTTATCATTCATCATTTGTTTCATGGCGAAAGCCAGGCTAAGTGTGACCGCCAGGGGTAGTCCCTCGGGGACAGCAACGACGACAATGGTGACAGCCACTGCGAAGTATTCCAGCAGTTCGAGTGCATCCTCACCACACAAACTCCAGTGGGTCCCTTCATGGAGCTTCCTGACGTACATCTTCTGGATCAACACGGCGAATGTCACAACTGCGAAAAAGAGCCCGATTTTTCCTATGATTGTCGCCACCCCGTTTAGTTTGACCTGCAAGGGAGTTTCATCATCTCCTCCTTCGCTGAGGGTGGCCATGAGTTTTCCCCATTGTGTCCTCATCCCGACCGTGGTGACCAACATCTTGCAGGACCCATCTTGGACTTTGGTTCCAGATAATAGGAAAGGGTTTTCTTCACTGACCATTACCGGCTCACTCTCACCCGTCAAGCTCGACTCATCTATAGAAACTGAGAATCCGGAGAGGAAAAGTCCGTCTGCGGGGACTTGATCTCCAATTGCAAGATGCACAATGTCCCCAGGAACAAGTTCGTATATTGACATCTTCTGTCTATATCCATCCCGAGTGACCTGAATGGATATTTTCTTCTTTTCCTTGTCCAAGTCTCTGAACTGTAAGGACTGGCGGTAGTCGCTGGTGGCAGTGACAAACACAACCAATAGGATACTCGCGACGATCCCGAGCCCGTCATGGGCCCCTTTAGGCCATCCCTCGGTTGCTAGACCAACGAGTAGGGAAACCAGGGCGCAAATGCCGAGAATCATTAAAGTCATATCTTGAAGGGCTTCCCATACGAAAACCCAAAAGCTCTTGGGTTCACTTTCAAGAAACTTGTTGATACCGAAAAGCTCCTGCCTGCGGTTAAGAGCTTCTGGATCAGTAGTGAGGCCATTGTCAACAGAAGTTCTCAGCTTTCCAGAAATTCCCTCCACCCCACCATGGAATTTTAGTTTCTTCAGATCATGGTCTTCAACTAATGTCCCCAGTTCTTCTGCACAAATTTGATATCCTGCGGCCTCTGCCTCCTTAGGCACAGTGTAATCCTCACTCGGTTTCACCCCTACGATCGTTTTTTAAAGAAAAAAAGGTCATCAGCAGCTCTGATAGACAGAAATTACAGAATTACCAAAACAAGAAAGTCAGAGATAGGTTTAGTCACCCTGTATGAACTGAAACGCAGCCTTTGAAACAAGAACTGCAATCCTCAATTTCTCCTATGAAGAAACAAAAACCCATCAAAACTTCGTTTTGGAAAGTGTGGTCCAAACACAGGATGGAAACATTACCAAGGAATATACAAATTTCTCTATTTACATCTCAAATATTCAGTCAAAATGGTACCTGATTTGTACGGCGCATGGCAGCAGCCTCATAACGCTTGGAGAGGTTGGCGGTGAAGCGGAAGCGGCGCTTTGGGTTCTTCACGACGCCGCAGAGGCTCCGCCACCGCTGCAGCGCCTCGTCCGACGAGTTCTTCGCCTTCACCCCCCCAAAGTTCTCATTCAAATAGCTCTCCATTTTCAACCACTCAACTCCGTGAGATTAACTTTTCTTGCTTCCAAACACGCATTACATATGGAAAGATTCTGGGAAAATGTTCCTCCAATGAGAAGGAGAAAAGTCTTTAAAAAGGGGTCATTCTTTTGTCAGATGGTGCGGAGATTCCCAGTGATTTCAGACAGAAGCCGCGTATGAGCAACGTGCATAAACGACGAAGATTTTTGTAAAGAAAAACGTAAAAGTAAAGATGACGATAACAATGAATCGGTGTTAGGGAAATGATGATCCGGAATTTGAGTGCAGACAAGTGGATTATCAGGTTCTAATGGAATTGATTATCCTGGTTTCTTGGTCAAACATTGAACGAAATGGCCGGACAATATTAATACCGACAGGTTACTGTTGCTCGGAAGTTTTTTCCATGAAATCATATTTAATATTGCGCGTGATTAACAATTATGAAATGGTTAGCATGTGACCCGCCTATTTGATACCCTATTAATTCCTATTTAAGAATATGCAGAAATTTTAATTCCTATTTAAGATGCCCATTATTTTCATTTATGCAATTATACCTCGATCTAGTGATAACATACGAAGTTTAAATTTTTTTGAAAGAATTCGGCTTATATTAATAACCAATAATTTTTCAGAGTATGGGTCAAAATATCAAAAACAATCTGACAACCGTTATCACTCGAACCAGACTCGGAATTAATCGTCACAGCAATACAATTCGCTGATCCATTATTGGGAAACACAAAGCCAAAAACGGTCGTCATACTCCCCTCATCCCCATATCCAAAATCAACTCTTACAAAGTGGAACGTAAACAAAGAAACAAACATCAAAATAAAAGCAACAATTATTGAAGTAGCAAACAAAGTAAAATAAAAAACACTCCTGACACAGGCATAACACCTGAAGAATCCCTCTGGCGAGTGACCTCCATCCTGCAACCTACATCTTCGACGGGCTTATGGAGCAAAGCCTGCCTCCTCCCCGTTTTTTGCTCCGTCCAAAGCCATGGTGTCCTCCACTTGCTCCTTCTCTGTTTGAGTCTCCCATATCTTCCTCCTCTTAGAAACTTCTTTCTTTGGCTCCTCCCCACCAGGGGTGGAGACAGGGAGGGGCTGGAGGTGACCATGGCCCCTGCAAGGAAAAAAATTGTTAAGTATATATTATGTATAAATACTTTTAATCTGTAGATAGTATGTTGATATTTTAAACTTTGGCCCCTGCAATATAGAATTCTTAAGGACCGGCCCCTTTAACCATAAATGTCTGGCTCCGCCGCTGCTCCCCACCTTGTGTGAAGCTTTGGGCTGATTCAGTCATGGATACTTTCTCCTTTTCTACTATCTTTCCTTCTGCTTTGGATTCCCCTGGGCCTCCACCCGTTCTGTTTGAGCTCGATGAACCCTCCAAGAGCCAACTATGTCCTCCTATCGGGCTCGTGTTCACCCCACTACCTGCTCTTAGTTGGGGTCCAAATCTTTTTTCTAAAACTAAGCCTTCTTCATAATTTAGGGGACAAAAATTATCTGAATGTCAATTCAAACCACAGATAAAGCAAAAGTTAGGCAATCGTTCATATTTAAAATCTACCCAAAAACTTTTACCATCTTTTTTCAGATTTGTCCCCTTCTTAAGCGATTTATCCACCTCCATAAGAATCCAAACTCTCATATATGGCTCTAATTTATCCTTTTTTTGGTTATCATCATATCTAATAAACTCACCTATAAAATTTCCCACACGCCTGACAGTACCCAGATTAACAAGACTATAGGAAACATTATGAACCTGGACCCAAAACTCTGACAAATTTAATATAATTTTGTATGGAGTATCATCAGGCATAACTTCTTTTAACATTACCAGACTACGTTCAAACTACCAAGGGCCTCCATCAAGCACACGCTTCATATCAAAACGATGATTAAACGAAAATAGGTACCTTTTTTAACTGATTTCCTTCACCGACATACCTTTCCCCGGCCGCCAAAGCGAAAGCATCGTCTTCTTGAGGTCCGGAAATTTGACCTTGCAGTCAATAAGAACTTGGCCGATCACTGGGAAACCGATCGCCGCCTCCTCCACCGGACTGCTCTCAACCTCCCCTTCATCAAGATTCAGTTCTTCTTCGTCATCACCGATCGCCATCTGCTTATACCAATCAACAACGCTATCCATAGACCTTCTGTATACCCCCCACCTCAGCCGCTGCTTCTGCTAACAAAACAGCCGCCTGCACTCTGTGTTCCTCCCTGAATCTCTCGGACTGCTTGGATATAAAGCCACGCCCGCCGCCCTCTCCACCAATCCAAGCCTCCAACCAACACCTCCTTATCCTCCAACCAGCACCGCCCTAAACAACCAATGAAAACTCGCCCTTCGTATAATCGAAGGCGGACAAATCGAAGCTAAGGCTCATCGGCCGATAACCCTAGCGAGAGAAATTAATTCAATCTAGATTACTAAGTTTAAAAATTAAAGAGCGGCATATATGAGAGGTAAATGTAGGAAGTAAATGAAAAAAGTAGGAAATAAAAGCGAAATGTAGAATAAAACTTTTCAAATACGGAAATGAGAATTGTGATCTACAGTAACTTCAGCTAATACAACCAGAAAAGCAACTTCAACCTTACATTTTCTGCTTATTACACAATTCAGCGCGTCAAAGCAAAAGTTACATATTTGATGAAAAGTTGGATGATAAGAGGGAAAAGAGTGTAAATACTTCGTGTTTGTTGCAAAACTGCCTGTGCATAAAGAAATAATGAATCTAGAATGACTAATGAAAGAAGGAAAGCAGTCTTGTACCAAGCAAGGTAGATTTAAAATGAGTAATTTTAAACCTCTTTCATTTCACGCAAAAGATGAATGATCTTAAGTTCTTTTAATTTTAGATTAAGGCCATGTTTGAGACGCAAAAGTCTGTAACTTCTAACTTATCTATTATTAAAAAAGTCTCTAAAAGATTCTAGTTGTGTGTTTGGCCAAACGACTTTTTTTAAAAGTCCGCATCTTTTGTAGAATGCTAGCTAAGGTAGCGTCGAATAAGAAAGAACTTTTCATTTTTCCGCCTTTCCACAATAACCCTGCTCTCAAGCCGTTCTTTCTTCTCCAACTTCATTCATTAGTGCGCCTCAAGTCTGCAAGCTTCTGTTTCAGTCAACGGTGCTCTCTCCAAGAGCTTCATATTCTATTGTCTTTGCTAAACCCTTTTATCGATTTCTCTTCTTCGCGGATGTTTGTTAATTTTTATGATTTTGATTAACAATTCATAACTAAAATCTGTGTTGTATTTGGTAAAAATCTGGTAAAAATCTGGTAAAAATTGCATTGGAATTTTGTGTCAACTTTGAATTTAATTTTTTAAATCTCTGGTATATTCTGACGAATTGAAATAAATTTGATATGATTTGTGCCGAGTAATTTTACCAGTTTGTTATTTTCTTGCCAATTTTACCTGTTTTTGGGATGTGTTTTGTTACTCCCTGATTTTTCCATATTTATTGTTTAAATGGGAGTTTTTCTGCTTTTTTTGTGTGTGTGTTCAAAGTCATTACAATTTACAAGCTATGTTTATTCATTGTAGTGCAGGTTTTATAGAGTTTGTTCATAAAGATGTAGTTTGTTTGTGTATTTTATGCTCTGTTTTTTGTTTTCAATTTTGTTTTCAATTTTTTTTGTCTACGCAGCAATTCACTTCAATCTTATGAAGTTCTTATAGAGCTGCTTCCTTTTTGCTTCTTTCAATGCATTAGAATGTTGCGTATATATAGGAATAAAAATTAGCTATGGGCAATTGTGCATGTATTTTATTTTCTCATTGATTAATTATAATATTTGATCATACCCTTTATTGTAATTTTATAATTTCAGGTACTTACAACAGCAAGTTCTGCCAAACATGAGTATTTAAAACAGGCAGCTTTCATGAAACAGTTACGATCTTTTCCATTTGCAAGCTTTTTAACTCTAAAAAGCTAACATTTAGTAAAAAGTCTAAGAAAGATCTTTTCAGCTTGTCAAACCAAACATAGCCTAAAGATGAATTCAATTGTACCAATGTTTTTTTCCCAATGTTTTCACTTATTCATATCAAATATCAGTTCTTAATTGTTAGATTGTGTTAAAAATTAAATTTTACTAAAGGAAAAACTATTTTCAATGATGATTAATCTTCATCGTTAGATTCATATTGAAAGTAAAAAGTTAGTATTACGGGTTCCTTTTTGAAAAAATTTCAGAGCTCACTTGGTAATGCCAATCTCGGCTGAATCGACTAATTCTGCTGAAATTATGAAGTTATTTTTGAATTGTCTGATTCTGCTGGTTTATTAAAAAATTATATTTAAAATATATTTTAATAATAAAATAAAAAAGATTATATGTAAAAATAACTAAAATGGTCTTCTACAGTAATTTCAACCAATACGACCAGAAAAGTAATTTCAACTTTAATTTTTCTTATTATTACGCAATTCAGTGCATGAAATAAAAAATTATGTGTTTGGTGAAAAATTGGCCGATAAGCCTGATAAGCCGAAAATCTGAACTACTAAACAAGCTCTAAATCTAATAGTAAAAATCAATAGTCATTGCTAATGATGATCATAAAAATTGGACAATGAACTCATTAAAGGTAGATTCTATGGTACCCATAAGGTACCATACCTTTGTCTACATGGACCAATGAAAATGTTGCAGTTGAATTATTTAAATCTAAATTAAAAATGATAAAGTGATACGGCACCCCATTTTTAAAAAGGGTATCAGAGTTGTCACCCTCATTAAATTAAATTGCTAAAAAAGAGAGCGGCTTAGAATTGTGCACCTTAGGCTTAGGACTATATATCTGTGTCACTGTGTGTGTATGGTCGAATAAAAAGAAACTTATGGCCTGTTTGGTGACAGCTGCATTGGCTGGAATGGCTGAAAAGCCTGAAAAGTCTGAAAAGATTAAAGTGAAAGTGTTTGGTAATATATTGACTGGAATGGCTGATTGTGTGTAAAATTACTATAAAAGGTATTAGCTTATTTGTGTTAAATATATGGGTGTGTATTTTACACTCAGAATTTATAACCAATATGAAACAACAATTTTATGGCAACACTTTATAACCAATATGTAAGTAGATTCCCAAACAGCGGTTCATAAAAATCGTTCTTATTCACGAAATATATAACCAAATAGCAGTTTAGGCGTAAAATAAAGGGGCAAAAGAGTATTTTCGCAGCTCAACGGTAATAGGAAGATTTCGCAGCTCAAAAAGTAACATAGGCATTGCTTTTTCGGCTGATAAGATAATTCAGCCCAAGTAGCCCTAAAGCATTGTGTTTGGCTGTATTTTCTTATTTTCAGGCTTATAAGCCTATTTTTGGGTCACCAAACACCCTCTTAAAATGTGAACAATTTTTGTGCATTGGATTTGAGATTTGATGACTTTTGAAACTTCAACGATATATCGAATTTGGTTTACATTGCGAAAAAACACAGTAATGGAACCAAAAGTGCAATGTTGCCAAGTACAAATAATTTGTTTACACATTTCACGTTAAGCCCTCTATATTTATTTGATATGCACTCCATTATTGTGTTGTCCAAAGTTATTACGAATCCAAAATGTTAAAACTTAAAAGTGGAGATTTTGGACTCCTAAATTGTTACATTTGGGACCAAATGAGGGCCACAAAATAAAAATGGGTTAGATGGAACTAAAAACAGAGAGCTTGTTGATAGCCATAGAAAAAAGCATAAAAAAGAGTTACAATGCAAAAAATATATCATAATTTGTGATTTTTTTATGATTTTTCATATGCCATCAATATTGCATATGTATATTTTAAAAAAATATGGAGTTCCAACTTCTTGAGTTTTTAGGCTAAAAAAACGAAAAACAAATTTTTATCCCATGATGGTTCCACACATAATTGGATTTTAATTGAACTCATCATTTTTTTATTTAACCAAAAAAGTTTAAAAAGTTTAACGAAAAGCTAAGAAAGACAACACTTATAACAATTTAATCAATATATTACTAAATAGATATGTAAACAAATATCACTACAAGAATAATGATTTTTAAAAACCAACATATAAGGTCGACTCTCAAAATTCGTGCAACATATGTTAAGTAAATTTTATTAAAGGTACTAAAATACAGGTAAAATTGTATTGAGAAAATCTACACACTCTTTTGATATAGATAAAACTCATATTTAAATTTTTAGAAATTGCTCTAAATAGGATTAAAACTTAAACAAAATGCACAAATATGACTAAATGTATTTACTCCCTTAATATGACTAAATTTTTCTCTTAAATTTTCTAACAGTTTGGGATGCAAGTAGTCTGAGTATAAATACATCAATGATTCGTCAATCACAAGAGAGATAAAGACACTACAAAGAGACAAGCAAGATGACAAAAGTTGAAACAAAAGAAACTTAACTACGAAGCATAAGGCCAAGCCAGCTTTTCTTTATTTTTTTGTCCTAGAAAAGTACTAATGTAATTTAGTACGTACTTCTAGTTGTGGAATATAGAGTCCGAATTTTATTCATGTCCGGAATTCCGGACAGGAACCGCCGTCCGGACGGTAGCGTTTGGCCGCCTTACCGATGACATTTTTTGATGAAATTTTTATGGCATGTTCTCCATCAAGTCTAGTTTATCCACAAAAAAATTCAGCCAAAAACTCATTCGGGAAGGTCGTCAAATGATTTTTGCAAGTTAACTGGTCCGGAAAATGTATTTTCCGGACCAGTTAACTTGCAAAAATCATTTGACGACCTTCCCGAATGAGTTTTTGGCTGAATTTTTTTGTGGATAAACTAGACTTGATGGAGAACATGCCATAAAAATTTCATCGAAAAATTCCACCCGGAAGGCGGTCAAACGCCGCCGTCCGGACGGCGGTTCCGGTCAGAAATTCCTGACCGGAAGAGTACTCTATAGAGTCCTACCTCTATCCCCCTAAGTTTGGGACAAGGGGTGTGTGTGATTTTTAAGAAAAAGTGGAATTGTGTGGTTGATATTGAATTGATAAAGTGTGAATAAAGTAAAAATGAATTCTAACCACTCAAATGTTACCAAATATGGTATGGGACAAACTTAGTGGGACGGACGAAAAAGGTAAAACGAGACAAACTTAGTGGGACGGAGGAAGTATGAGAGTATCACAAATTAATACTCACTCCGTTACCTTAGTGGCTGACTCTTATAATTTAAACACATTTTACTTTTTGACTGTCTCAAAAAATTTATTATTTTTCCTTTTAATTAACTAAACTGTGATTCCTATTTTTTTTCTTTCTTCTCCAAAAATATCAATCATACTTTTTTTACTTATTCCCTCCGTCTCGAAAAGATTGGCTAAATTTCCTTTTTTAGATGTCCCAAAAAGATTGACAATTTCCATTTAAAGTAAGGAATATGTGGGTAAAGTTAATTCTCTCTACTCTACACAAATTTCAACCACACAATTTTTACTTTATTAATCCACGTGAAAGTCAATTTTGGCCAACCTTTTCGCGACGGATGGAGTATTATTTATTGTGCCGATCACACTTAACAAAGTTCTAAGGTACAAAAGGAGTATGTGTAAACATATGGAGCACGGTTTAGGTAGTGAGGAACAGAGGATGACATGCCTTCCACACACATATATAAATTGAAAATCAAATGAGAACAACATTGAATGAGAAAACGTGAGAATGCCATATTTACCCCAATGTGGTGCACAAAAAGACTCGTCCGTTGCACTTTTTTGTTTGATTGCTTCCCGATAAACTACTGGCGGTATTATAGAAAGAAGAAATAGCTACGAATTAAAGAGAGTAAGTAACTTGCATTAATGAGAGTCATTTTGTAATGATCTTCCTGCCGGAGAGAAGAAAACTAAATGATCGTAGATAAGAAAGACCAGAGAGAATGCAATAGGGAGAGACTTGGAGAAGAAGAAAGAGGAAATAGTTGATTGTTATTTCTTATCCCGCGATGTAAATGGACAATACATTTATATATATTTCTCTTCTTCTAAATTTAGTAATAACCCATATAACATAACTTGGGTTTAATGACATTCATATTGTCTAGCATAATAAATCATATCCAGCCCACTTGCTCTTTCATTTCCTGCCCCTTAACTTCCTCTTCAGCCTCTTTACCGCCCAGGGAGCATTTGAATGAACCGGTCCCTTCTTTTCCTTCTGCCGTTTCAGCGGAGGTCATGACATTACCTCCCCCGTTTTTGCGATCCTTGTCCTCAAGGATCAGTTGGGGAAACATCTTCTTAAGTTTATAACGAGATACCCATCCTTCCACAGCCTCTTGCCCCTTGTTTAAGAGAAAACAGAAGGAAGACACGAGCAGGACCTGTGGCTTCTGTGCGGGACTCTTGGATGGCCAACGGAATAACAGAAAAGCAACCGTCATTGTCAACGGGAGGGAGATTAGCTACCACTTCCGCCCTAGGGCTAATGCAACGCTTCAGCAGTGACACATGAAACACCGGGTGTATTTTTTCATCCGCAGTTAAATCTAGTTTATAAGCCACCTTTCCCACCCTTTCCACAATGGCATACGGCCCAAAATATCTAGCAACTAACTTGTGATTTTTTCTTAATTGAATTGAATGTTGCCTGTAAGGTTGTAGTTTCACATATAAAAAATCACCCACCTCAAACTCCCTGTCACATCTCTTATTGTCAGCATAGTGTTTCATCCTTTCTTGTGCTAACTTAAGGTTCTCTTTTAATTCTTTCTGCATCCTCTGTCTTTGAGTTATTAGCTCCTTAGCATCAGTGTTTGAGAAGCCAGATTGAGTTCATAGGAATAATGTTGGGGTAAGATACCCATATAGGGCTTCAAATGGAGTAGTCTTAATGCTGGAATGGTAATTGGTGTTATACCAGTATTCTGCCAAAGATATCCATTGAACCCACTGTTTGGGATTTTGGTGGGCCATAGCTCTAAGGTATGCTTCTAAACACTGATTCAACCTCTCTGTTTGCCCATCAGGGGTGATAGGAAGATGTATAGCTCAAATGTGTTCCCATGAGTTTGAACAACTCTTTCCAAAACCCACTTAGGAACACCGCGTCTCTATCAGTTAGTATATCTATGGGTTGGCCATGCAATTTGAAAACACTGTCTAGAAACACTTTAGCTACCGTGGCAGCAGTGTAGGGGTGTGATAAGTGCAGAAAATGCCCATATTTAGTCAACATGTCTACTACCACTAGGATGAAATCCTTACCATGTGATTTAGGTAACCCTTCTATAAAATCCATGCTGATGTGGCTCCATGCTTGGTCAGGTATGGGCAGTGGTTGCAGCAACCCTGGGTAAGGACCTCCTTATGATTTAGTTCGGGCACATGTCTCACACTTCTTGACCCACTTGGTGATGTTCGCTTTCATTTTTGGCCAGTAAAAGACTCTCCGTATCCTCATGTAAGTGCCCTGTATTCCTGAGTGTCCCCCTATAGCATATGTATGTAGTTCCCTGAAAATGGTGTATCTAAGTTCCGTAGAGCTGTCAATAGTTACCCTCCCCTGGTACCTCAGAACACCATCAATATTTTCAAAATCCGGATGAGAACTAGGATCCAAAAGCTTTTCTTCTAATACTTGAGATAGATAAACATCATCTTCATGGCTCTTGAGTACTTGTTGCACCCAGGTAGGCCTGACCACTGATAAAGACCAACACCCATCATTTTCCTTTCCCTTTCGGGAAAGGGCATTTGCCACCTTATTCTCAACCCCCTTTTATAGTGTATGTCATAATTAAGACCTAACAGTTTGGTAATCCACTTTTGTTGGGATTGATTGGTGGCTTATAAGCAAGGTGTTCCCTCCTCCTAATCAGCTGGTCTTTTAGGAGTGAGTTCTACATCTGGGGCTTATGGCACTAGTATGGGCCTAGTATGGACTAGGTCCGTAACACATTTACACTTGATTAGAAACATGTTCAAACATTTCATCAACAAATTGCACCAGGAAGGCCCCTAAATAACCTCACCCTGATGGCAGTTTCGTCAGACCGGCTTGATGAGAATGCCCCCGGGTAGGAATCACATTGCTTTAACATCCGCATGGACCATCGCAATGCTTTGTTCTAATTATACAGTCGGATTCCCCTTTCCCGTACCAATTTCACATTATATATGTGTATATAATTACTTTAGAAAATGTGTGTATATTATTACATTTTTATTTATTCTTTACTTTTACGTAGTATAATTAATACTTCGTAAGAGCATCCGCATTGCTATGCTGTCTAGTGAAGATAATGTGTGCCATGTCATCAACTGGGACATTGTGATTTCAATTTGACTTCCAATGCATGTAGTCTCTCGTTCAATTATGATGACTTGGCAAAAAAAAATTAATCACTGTGAGAAGGGACCGTGTGAGTGTAAAAAGGCTCCTTAACATGCTGTGTCACGCTCCGGACCTACCGGTGACGCCAACAACCCGCCGTACAGTACGAATAGTCAACCGCAGTCCAACTCATCCATACTATACTAGGCGTCTTGAATACCATTCACACATAGTACATCCATAAACAAACATAATGTAAAATATTCATTTAAAGCAGCGGAAACATTAATAAAGTGTTTATGCCACACTTTGGCAGACATGGGCATACAAGCCCCCAAATAATTATTCAATAATAATATCCATGAGCATTATTTAAATTGTTTTCAAAACAGAAACGGAAGAAGCACGAACCACGTCCTCCTCCTTTGATCTCCCCGAAGCAACGGGCGGTGGAAGCAACCTTCAAGTCCTACCTGAAACTGTGAGGTGGCCTCCCCCGTGAAGGGGAGGTCAGTACTTGGAGGCATTTGACAAGTACAATGACAACTATACTAAGTATAATCAATGTTTTAATTTCTAAGACCCTCAAAATAGGGTGATATCATAATATAAATAATAATTTATATTTCCCACTTATTATCTCTATAATAAGTAAATTCATTTATTTGTCGGCACGCGGCCCATCTTATACATCCCTTTTCGGTTATCATTTGCACAACCCAACCCGTGGGTCTTATTATTTCTACGGGATTTGCTACCGCTGTCCGAGACCTCATGAGGCTCTCGGTTCGGACTTCAACATCCTGCCCCTGCACTCATACCCATCATCCCGTAGGAAGGTAAGGCCCTTCGGGGTCCTATCTTATGTGTTACCGCTATCGGAGCCTAGTTAGGTCTCCGATTCGGATTCCACCCTATCCCGTGATCACGATGCAAGTCCATGCTATCCAACCCCACTCTCTAGAGTCGGGAAGGGCCATGGTCCTTGCTATTTACCATAACTTATCCGGCCATCCTCAAGGACTACCGAAATACGCCCGTAGGCCAATCCTACCTCTAGGATCAATTTATTATTCACTTTCTCTTGGGTATCCTTTAAGGCCTACCCCTAGTATATAACTTAAAGCTCATACTTATCCACCTTAGTATCTCTTAAGACTACGTAAGGCTCCATATTTCACAATCCAAATCTTGGATCAATTCTAGCATATTCTCATTCAAATACCCCGACTAGTATCTTAATACTAGTCGGATCAATCCAACAAAACAAATTTTCAGTTCATAGTCATATAGACAATTTCCAAACTAATTTTCCATTGAAAATATAGTTCCCATCAATATACAAAATATAACTTTTAATCACTCATATATTCTTATATGAAGTAAAAATTATATTTCAAATATAGTTTATAGTTAATTTCCTCATCAAGCCAACATGCTTATAAAACATAATCATACACAATTTATTCTTAAATTTGTATATTATGCTCCTTTTCCTTATAGACAGTAGTCTCCTCATTCTTAAGCATTATTAATCATTAATAATCCTTAAAAACGTATTTAATTACCTTAGGTAATCTCATGAAATTAACTCAAAGATTACAAGCAATATAGTCAGTCATCCTCACCTTATGATGTGCTACAATAGTTTCCTTTGTTAGGCCCTTCGATCAATCCCCGTTCCAGGACGATTGGAAGTGAAAAAGTGAGCTGCTGGGCAAAAGCCGGGCGGCTTTCGTGTTCTGCAGATTCGAGCAGCTCCCTTAAAGTGGCGGTTTCCGGCGATTTCGACCCCTATCGATTCACCAACTCTTCTAAGTTAAATATCACCACTTTATAGCGACATTCTACACTTTTAAACGTGTAGAACATCATGTTTCATCCACCATGTGATTTCTTAAAAATCCTACACCATAAAACTAGTTAAAAGAATATAGGTGGAGTTCTTACCTTGAACTCAAACTATTTCTTGCTAGACCTCCTTCCTTTTGCTTCCTTGAAGCTTGGACTTTGAGAGAAAACTTTCCTAGAGCTCTCTCCCAGTGATATGTTCGAATGATGCACAATGAGTGAGGGAGATGTATCTCTATCCACTCAACTCACATAATGCATGAATAAGACATGGGGGGTGTGGCTCTGTCTCCAACCATGCCCTCACCCTATATTCCCACCCTATCACTCAAAATTGTCTCCATTCCATTAACTTGGGAGTTATTTGATTGGCAAAATACCCCAAGTGGGTGCAGGAAGTCCCTCCCCATTATTCCTGCTATTTCTGGCAGGTTAGGTCAAAATAGCACTCGGGTTGCCCAATCATTTCCCTTAACTTCAGTTGGCATTTTATTGGGCTTCTAAAATTAATATGATGACCCAACTAAATATTTGGTAGCTCAGTCACAAATAGTGGACCCGATAAATAATTTAATTAATCATGCATTAATTAAATATACCAATTCTAACACACAAATTTTATTCACTAGGAATTCAAAAAAAAAAAAAAAATTGGACAAACTACACCTCAAAAAGCCTCTGCATCTATCGCCGAATTTGACGCTACAGTGTTCCACGGAAGATATTACCGCTCTGCGCGACAGCACCTCCAAGAGAGCAGAGAACGAAACAAAATTCAGATCCATGGAATGGTGGC